TAGAGAATTTTTCCTCTGATACTCACCCTGAGAACCTGGTAGAGCATCAGAAGGTAAAACTAACAAAAGTGCAGGAGACCTCCTGAAGGCTGGGTCCCCTACAGTTTTTATCTCTCAGAGTTGTCCTCATGGAGCTTCCAGCTCTGAATTCGCAATTCATTAATTACACTTCAGGTTTTCCTAGCCTGTCACTGGTTTCTGTGAAGGTTGTTGCTTGTGACTTTCTGCTCCAGTAAGTTGTGATTCTTCTCTGTTTTTTCCTCTCAGTCTCTGCAATTTGGGGGACAGTGGTTTGCCCTGGGCAAATTGTGCATCTAAGGATCACATGGACAATTTCTGTTATGGGTTTAACAAGAGTTATGAATTTTTTAGTTTTTTCAGCTTTTTATATGTTGTTAGAATGGAGTTGCAACTTCCAAGCTTCTTCCATGCTGGATTGTAAACTAGAATTCCTGTGCATATCTTAGAATTGACTGTATAGATGGTCAGTTCTTTGAGGGCAGACACAGTGTTCTTTATTCTATACATTTTTTTTAATGAGATATTCATCAATTACCAGTTAGTTACTTGATATTGTTCTCGGTGCTGATGATACAGTAATAAGCATCATACGCACAAAGTCTGTGCCCTTCATGGATGTTATGTTTTAGTAATGCAGACAGGAAAAGTAAACATACAAATCAGAGGAAAAATAACATTATTAATGATAAGTACTTTGTGGAAAACAAACCAGGGCCTTATAATAAAAACTATCTACAATAGAGGGTAGCAACGTTTGATGTGAAGCATGAAAAACAAGTGAGAGGTAGTCATAGGAAAATGCGGTTGGAGAAAAATCCCACTCTATGCCCTTACTACCTGTGTGGCCTTATGCAAGTTATTTATTCTCTCTGAATCTAAGTAAGTTTCAATAGGAAAAAAAGTTAAGATTTATAAAGTACAATGCCTAACTCATAAAAACACTCAAAACTGTTGCTATATCATTATTACCCCTATTGAGACACTTGAATTATATTTTAATTCCAAAGCAAAATCATTGACATGCTTTCAGCATGGGGGCTCTTGAATCCCTAATGATGCTTAGCATAATGCCTGCTAAGTAATTAGTTTTATAGCATATTATTTTCTTTCTGAAATTTTCTAAGTGATGTTTAGTCAATCAAATTATCTCTACATACTCAGAGATCAGCTACTCCATGTATTCCATGGCTACTTGGTCTACAGTTTCCTTTGGAGCTAATTCAAAATAATTTTAAGACGTAGACCTTGATTTCAAATATATTGTCATTAACTCATAAATTGAGGACTTTTATGAAGTTTATGTTTAGTTCTTTTTGTAGAATGTATCTAATTGACTCCTCTTTCTTGACTAGTAGTGATAATGTTGAAACAGTTGAAAAGTGATAATGTTGGTGAAAAATAAATAGTAATAGTCAATCATATGGGATTGATTAAATAAATTATAAGCATGAATATTCCCACCAATAAAAATTGGATTGTATCACAAATCATGATGGGGTAGATATCCAAAAAATAAATTTTAGGAAAATAAAACAGGTTATTAAAATTCTGGAAGAAAATGCTTGAAAATGTCAACAGTGATTAAGTCTGGGTGGTGGGATAAGATGATTATAGATTGGTTAATTTCCCTTGTCTCAGTATGTTTTGTGTTGCTATAACAGAATACCTGAGACTAGGTAATTTATAAAGTGCAGACATTTATTTCTCATAGGTCTGGAAGTGGAAAAGTCCAAGATCAAGGCACCAATAGGTTTGGTTTCTGGTGAGGGCCTGGTCTCTGCCTCCAAGATGACACCTTGAATGCTGGCTCCTTGAGAGGGGGAGCAATGCTGCTTCTCACATTGGTGACGAGTGGAAGGGAGAAAGCCCACTCTCCAAAACCATTTTATTGTGGCATTAATCAATTCATGCAGGCAAAGCTCACAAGACTTAAACACCTCCCATTAAGCCCCCTCTCCCAACATTGTTGCATTAATGATTAGGCTCTCAACACATGCGTTTTGGAAGGGACAAACACTAAAACTACAGCATTCCCTTCTGAATTTTTCTGTACTTTCTAAACATCTCAAGAGAAGTGTCCATTAGTTCTGTAATCCAATAAAGCCAATTAATTACAAACAAAATTAAAGAAGAAAAGAAATTCACAATCACTACAAAAAGAATTAAAAGAAAATAACAGCAGATTATATAACAGGATATATACTTAGGCTAAAATATGAACCATTATTTCAGTTAAATCTTCATATTTTCTATGGTCTTAGAACAATAGATTTTATTTTGAAGACATAGAGGGTATATCCTCTGGTTATTGCCTAACCTCTCTTGACCTAAGATTACCTAGACAGAAAATGATTTGATGACATACTTGGTCCAAGGGCCATGCTTATTTATCTGCACTGCACTATGTCTGTATTTATGTCTTCAAAATAGACTTGAAGATGATGGGAGACATGAGAAGCACTTTCCATTCCCTGTGTTTCGTTTTACTCTGCAGTGCCCTTCAATCCCTTCCAACTATACTGAGTCTGTACTTCTGCTACAACTGCTTGTGTATAATTGTTCTCACCAGACTCCGGGCTCCTTGAAGCTGGAGAAATAGTCTAAATCAGTCTCTGGTATCTCGGAGACCTAGAGCAGTGCCCAGCCTATCAGTAGCATATAAATATTTGCAGAATTTATTGAGTTGCTGCATTTTTCTCCCACATTTCCTCTACATGTCAGAAGTGTCCGTGTTGCTAAATTCTTCAACTCTGAATTTCAAGAGAACCCCAGAGCCACGTTGCTCATTTCCCAATGGACACCTTTATCTTGTACTAACATTTCAAGAATTGTCTTGCTTTCTGGCTTTTTTTCTTGTTTAGAAAATTCTGCCTATCAGGTACTTTAGAAAGCAGTCCAATGTCTGACAAAGTCTTTTGTTTTCTGACCTGTAACAGAAATTAACTCTCAACAAAAGAGCAGTTCTCCACCTGCAGGCCTAAGCATGGAACTTTAATGTACATGACAATTTCAGGAGCCCTTAGAAAGGAGATAGGGAAGATGGTGAGGTCATGTGACCAGATTTCTACTCTGTGTCAGCCCTTTTCTTTGGCATTTAGATGAGTTGAATGACAGGTAAAGCTTACGGCTTAGGCTGCCAGGAACAAAAAAAAAAAAAAAAATGTGGGTAAATTTAATCATTTGCTCAAGTCTTTAAATATCCTGTATAGCTTTCAGGCACAAAGCAATCTTCCTACAGAGAAACAAACCCAGGATGTGGTTACAACATAGTGTTCTACCTCTTTGTGTTAAAGTGCCTTAATGATCAGGGAAAAAAAATAGATTTGCATGAATGCTTTTTATGGAAAGCACTTAACACAATGGTTACGCAAGACAAACGTCAGCACAAGTGGATATAACTGATATGATGAGTCATCCTATGTGGTTTAAAGCCACCACAAGTCTTTTAATTCAGCTTTCACAAGCCCAGAGCATCTTTTAAAGGACTTTGACATTGACAAAATACAATTAGCTCCTTGCCTGAATCATAAGATTGAAGGACAGTCTGATTTAAAAATGATTAAGGTGAGTGGCATATGAATGCCAAAGCTTCTTCTGAAATCAGCCTTGGTGATTTCTTTTTCTCTCCAGGTACAATGTCATAACACACACACACACACACACACACATACACACACACACACACATACACACAAACACACAGTGACATCACTTAAGATCTGAGTAATGTAGGCAGGATAGAAACATAATTGGCCACAATATTGTCCCATGTAAGCACATTAGTGATGCTTACTTAATCTCTTGACATCAAGTCATTCTCTGGAGTAAGAAGTATGGCTTTCTGTTTTAATTTCGTGATTCAAATTTGGAAATGCCTTTGCTCTTCGAAGAAAGGTACAATGTAAGATTTTATTATTAAACTGATTACATAATTGATAGTTACCTGGTCTTATTGTCACTAGTATGGCTGTCATTACACATTGATTATAGCATTTCTTTCTGTTGACATCAAACAGGACCTCAGAATTCTTCTCAGCAAAGTGCCTGAAGAAAACACAGTAAATCAACTGGAATGACCATGTGAAATAAAGTCTACTTTTCATTCACAGCACATATCAGACAACCTAAAAATCAAGGTTATGATTTTCAGATATCCACTTTATCCAAATGAACATTTGGTAACATTAGGTTCTGCCACAGCAATTAATACAGGGACTCATTTAAAATTGCTGTTACTTTGTCTGATATTTTAGTGGGTTGTCTTCAGTTCACATATTCTTTTTATTTCCCATTTCTTATAGAGCCCAGTTATGAGGCCCATTGTAGTATAATCAATAAAAAATCGTTGACTGATCCATTAATAATGTGATGATTTGTCTAAAAGCTGCATTGATAGAAAGGAAATAATTTTGTACTAAGAGTGAAAACATCTGAGTTCTATTCTTTATATTTGCAAGTAACCATGGTTTGAAAAATGTGTTTCAACTTCTCTAAACCTGTTTCCTCATTTCTTAAAATAGGGTGATAAACTGGATATTTTCTAAGGCTTCTCCCATTAGAAAATACATTAATTATTCTGAAATACGTGCATGAATAGGTGACTGTTCAGGTACTTTAAAATAAATAAGGTAAGTAATTGTCTATTTTCAAAGATAAAACTCCTCTTTATCTTTCCATTTCCATTCTCCCCATCTCCAACATTTATTTTCTCAGTTTACTTGGAGCGTACAATATTTAGGTAGGGTGTGGCTCTGAGAAATGGTAAAAACACCCCCTCCCACACACATCCCATAAAACACACACATACACACTCACATTAGTGAGAAGACCAATGAAGGAATTCCCTTGAGTTACTGATTTCTTCAAATTTGACTCAGTTTTATTCACTACCAAAAGGAGCTACTGGAAACCTTGCAATCTCACTGAACTCACACTCAAGGAAAATCTATTTCTCAATAGTTCTTACCATTTTTGCATATGCTGTCCACTTTGAAAAAACTTTCTCCAGGAAAATTCCTATGACTTCTAGACTGAGCCAAAATGCCGGCTCCTCACTGATGCGTTTGTGATTCTCCTTGTCAGTGTCAGGTTCTCTGTCTGCAGTGCTTTCTTAGCACTTTAATTGCACCTCTGTGGAAGAAGTTATATATTGTAATTTTAAAATATCTGTTCATGTTTGTCTCTCCCAACTACTTAAAAGCAGTCCTAATTTAGGTACATCTAGTTTATCTTAAGGAGCTGTATTAGATTGACTCCTTTAAAATTCTGGAGTCCACTTAATATCCCATTTCAAGGTAAGCCCCAGAATGCTTTTCAGCAGCATCCTTGACCTCTCTATTACTATGAAAGCTAGACTCTGACACTTTTGCATGTCAAGTCCAGAATCTCCCTAGAGAATCTCCCTAAAAATTTTTAGCCTTTTTCAAAATGAAGCTTATCACAGAAGACAGTGAACAAGAAGGCTTTAGGTCTTGTGATGTTAATTATTTTTAAAGAAGAATAGATTATAATATTTTAAAACTGAAATCATCATTTTTCTTCATGTTACTTCTTTGATTATCTGCATACATTACTAGAGAACCTGTGGTCTAAATTCTTAGAACCTTGTTCCTGGTCTTTCAGTCCTCTCCAAAAAAGGTGACTTACAAAAGCATCTGACTGGTATTTGACAATTCCCAAAGGAATTACTTCCAAAGTAAAGCATCTTGCATTAATTTTCTCATCTCTAAGTTGACCTCAGACATCTATCCTCACATCAATATGAGTATTTCTGTGTGTACAGGTTTCATATTTAATAGCACATATGATCACAGATTTAAAGCATCAATTAGCAATTTGCATATAATGGCAAATGCATTTGCCAAATTGATGGAAAATGCTTTTTTTTCCATCTCTTCCTCCTCTAATATCTCTTACTAGACAAATCATCATTACTGGTGATCTCTGACAACAGAGCTTTCTAAGTCCGATTCTGTCATTTGCTTGGTAGACACGTTGACTGCAGCAAACAGTCCCCTATCATCAACTTTTCCAGATGTTTGCACAGCGGGTTTGGTGTTTTTAAACTATCTAAGTGACGGTCCCAAATGACAAATGTTCATTTTCAAAATTAAAGCTTATTACGAATTACCTGCCAAGTACAATGTGTCAGGAGAGACTGAATGAATTAGAAATTTTGCCCGTTGAGAATGAATGAATAAGAAAAAACATAAATGAGGCAAGCTATTACACATCCTGGAGGAGCATAGAAAGAATTTTAAGTAACAGTAATTTACTAAAAGCTGTTGCATTAATACTTATGCCTTACCTTAAAGAGGCCCATCCCTACCTTTTGATGTGAGTCAGGCTTCACCTTTTTTAAGTGAAAAGAATAATGTTTGGGAAAGACAAGGATAATCTCTAAGATGAGCCTGTATTTCTCTTTTTAATCATCATCCACAGAGGTTCAGGTTTGATATACTGGGAAGAACATGGCCTGATATAGCCATCAAAAGACTCACCTCTTTTTGCTCTTAGTTGTCTTCCAGCTGTGAGACCTGCTGCTGGTTACTAGTCCTTGAACCTCAGTTTCTTCACCTATAATGTGAGAATAATAAAACCTGAACAAATAGGTTGTGGTGAAACTTAAGCAAATCAACATAAGTATTTGAATGTACTTTGTAAACTATGAAGTATCATAAATATATACTGATGTCATAATAATATTAACTACCACATATTAAGTATTTACTCTGTACCAGAGAGCATGTAAATCTTCACATATATTATCTTGTACAATCTTCACAACTACTGAAGGTCGGTAATATTATCTCTATTTTATAGATGAGGAAACTGAGTCTTATATAGAGGTTGAGTAACTGGCCTAAATAACTGCTAGCTTGGGCTGGACAGGATTGAAAAAAGAATATCTGATTCCAAGAACATGCTTTTAATCTCTATACTGTACTACTGTCCTTTTAATTTTAAGAGCGTGATGTTCAGTGATGCCACTTTGATGCAAAACATTTTGGAGCTTTCATTTAAAATTGCCTTCAGATACAGATTCATCAAGGCACACAAAGCAAGCAGCCTAATGACTCTATAGACAACTCTTCTTTCGGGCCCCCAAAAGTGTCATTAAGTTTAATCATCCCGCATTCCAGGTAGGAAGACAATGAATATCCACAGTCAAGAGTTCTCTCTTTGGAACGTTTACAAGATTGACATTTCTTTTTAAGATGGACATGGATCTTTTTTCATTACATCCCCATAGCACTGTGTATAATATGAATTATGCTTCCAATCACATGGTGTGTTATCCTTTTTTTTTTACAGATCCAACTTTCAACTCGCAAGAATTTTTAAATTACTGTACCCCAGAAGCAAGAATAGAAGGTGCATCCTTATATTAGAAGAAATTTTTAAAAGTGCAAATTCTCTTGTTGCTGCCTAGGAAAATTTTTGATCCCAGCTAGAGAAATATGAAACCAGGCTGACCAGAAGTCAGGGTTTGTTTCATAGGGCAAAATAGAAGCATCTTGATTTTCCATCTTTAAAATTATAATCAGCAGCAGGAAGCAAAGCAATATCACAGTCCTGTTATAGGAATCTAATAGCTTTTTATAGAATGCACAGCAGCAAATGTTATCACTATGCTTGAAAAAACCATTTTCATTATCAGCTGCTATTTTTTCAACTGATTATGACTTTTCCTTTAAGAAATGTGTTTAGGCAAAAATTTTGTTTGATTTAGCCCAAGGAAAAACTTTTTGTGGGATGGGAGACAGTACTCCAAACTGAATTCCTTCTGCCTTTAAGTTATGCGAACATGGACAACATATATCACATTCTACTGAAATTGCTTTTTATTTGTACTTCAATTGCTTAGAAAGGGTGTATCAATGGAAAATACAGCTTTACAACATTACAGGAGCCACTGAAGGGGACGAAGTTTAAATTTTTCTTTAGCATTATGAAGGTGTAAGTGGTAGGAAAAAGGATGCTCTTGAAGTCATTTCTTTTTTTTTCTAAGGTGTTGTATTGGACTGAAGCCTCTTCAGAACACTGAGGACATATGAGTTCATTTTAGAAACCTCCAAGGTGAGCAGTGAAAGCAATCAAAGTCAAAACTAGCATCATTTAAGACAAAGCAAATTAATGGCACCACTCAGAGTGGAGGGCGAATGTATTTGTATGTCTGGCATAGCCTAAGGTTGGTTGGTTGGCTTGTTTGTTTTTTTACCATGGAGAGAGGGCAAGAGATCAAAGTGTTTTAAGATGACCAAATCCCTTTAAGATTCTTCAGGAAAAAAAAACAAAAACAAAAAACAAACAAACAAAAAACAGTACATAGATGTGAAATTTGAGGCTACACCCTTTATGCTGAACAAAGAGGTAGTACTCCCTGAGAGCAAATACTAAGGCTTGTTTGAGCAAAACAGGGGATTTAGAAGTCTAGGACAAAACAGGCTTTCCATTTCATAGAAAAGACAAATAGCTTTAGAACAGCATTTTGATTGAGCAAATGTAAGGGACCCCTATATTTAAATTTCGATATATAACTCCCAATTTTGCCATGTAAAATTAATAATGGATTTCTCTAAAGCCAAACCCTCTTCAACTTTCATTGTAATTCTCTTAAGAAAGCATTAAATAAAAGCATTTCACTTTAGTTGAAAATCAATGGCACTTCAGTGAAGCATGCATCTTCCAACTATTATGGAGTCAAGAATCATACAGTTCCGCTAGTAAGACATGGGGCCCTGGCTTTGGTGGTAAAAGCTTCGTGCAACAGTGCAACATAGGAGTCTTTGGGGAAAAACACATGCAAAATAAAGAATTGAAAGTTGAGTGTGAATGTGCTCTAGTTCTCTTTGAAATGCCAACCATGATACATAAAATCATAAATAATGAAAATGGTGTGGTAGGAATAGGAATGAGAGTAGTAATAAGTAGAAAGATATTGTTTACTATGGACCAGACACTAAATGCATGATATGCATCATCTCATTTGATTCTCTTAAGAATCCTGTAAGCTGGTATTATTACCTACATTTCTGGAGTAGGTTTGAAGAAGGAACAGCTACATGTGGAGACATTCAATAAATTTAAGATGGGTTAAAATATTTTATTATACATTAATATATGGCCATTTCAACAATGAATCAAAAGGTATCATAAATTCTATCTACTTGGAAAGTTCTTTCTCCCTTTGTATAGTGATAAAATTGTATTCATTTTTCACTGTGGTAATGATAAGGGTGAATAAGATATAGCTCCTGCCCTCCAGGAACTCACAGTCTGAAAAGGGAGATGAAGCATGCATTAAAAAGCCAAATATGGTTCATGATAGTTTGTGGTAAACTCTGTAACACAGGTATATTTAAAGCTATGGATAGGCAGAAGAAAGAAAATAATTCTCAGAGCTAGGGTAGAGTTGGAGGAGGAAAGGATTAGGGACATCTCCTTAGAGGAGTTCAGCTGGTTTTAAAGATGGGCAGAGTTGAAACAGACAGTGTTATGAGGCTCAGGGAAATTTTTGATGTGCAACGCTTTTGAACCTAGGGTATATCCAGAATGTCAATGTTGCTGAAATTTTTGACATATGATTTAGCAATAATATGGGTAAGGACTAGATTGTAGAAGACCTACACTACTACTCTAAGCAGTTTAAACTTCATTTGGCATTCAGGGGCAAGTTTCGGACTGGAAGTATAATATGATCAGAGCTCTGCTTTGAGAATATTAGTGTAGTAATGCATTAAACTCATAATTTTTTACTGAATAAGTATTGTCCTGTGACTATATGCCAGGACTTATGCTAGGCAATGGGGATATAATGGCAAATATGACTCACTCTCTGCTTGCATAGAAATTATAATCAAGAAAATTAAACATAAAGTAGAACACTGTCATCAATATCATAACAGAGAAAGTACAGTGTAGCATGTAGAAGTGCCTTCTGTAATATTGGGATAATCGAAGAAACTTCCTGTAGAAATTGATTTCAAGTTGTGTGTATGGCATGTATGTATATACATGTCTGTAGGCTTATTGAATAAGAGAGTCAATCTATGAAAAGGCTCAGAGGGGAAAGTGTGCTTCAGGAACTTAATGCAGAGTTATTTGCTTTCCAGCCACATAGATCCTTAACAACCTCAGGTATGTGCACAAGGTTCCTGATCATTTCATCTTGGACTGGACAGGCAGGGTTCACCATCTGTCACATTCCAGGAGAACCAATTAAGTATTATACACAAGGACCTTATGAAAGCAAATTCTGTTGAATTGAATTGGCTTTCTTCATAGACCTAGAAATCATCTGGTTTAAGATTCCTTTTCAATGCCAAATATGAATAATTCAGTCAAGCCTGAAATAAACACCATGATCAAGTGTGGATTTTATTGTCCAATTTATTCACTCACTTATTCAGTATTTGTTATTTGTCAGCACCATATAACCCACTCTACTAGGTACTAGCCTTATCTAATCTTTTAGTCATAATTATTATTTTATCTAAACATTTACCTCATTTTTCCTAGGACACTTTTCATAGTTTGAGTCTATCACTATAAGTTGTATATAACTGTGTCCTCAAGTGGACTGTGGCATTTGAAAAAAAAAAATGTGTTCTCATCTTGTGTTTCATTCAAGCAATGTCAAGAATACAATAGAGGTTCTATAAATGGTGGGTGGATGGATGGATGGATGGATGGATGAACAGGTGGATGGACAGATGGAGACAGACATGAATAAGAATTTGTTTCTGTCCTCAGAATCTTATAGTCTAATAATGCAGATCAAGGACAAGCACGCAGTTAATGAGAAATATTTTCCACTATTAAAACCATTATGTTCTCTCTTTTCAGTTTATGTTTAATGTTCTAGAGCCACAATCTTATCATGATCCTAAAGATATCATGAAGGAGCCTCATAACATATTAAGAGTTTGAAATATGAAACTTTTTTATAATAGCTGAAGTTTGATTTTTAAATTTCTGAAAATACTAATTACTGAGCTTTCTCTTTAAACTCAGATTAAAAGCAGCCCCAAACACATCATTTAACCATTTTAATATGTTGTTATTTTACTTCCGGTGAGATGCAATGGAAGTAGATAAGAACAGAATAGGAATTCTAGACAATGTCTGTAGTCATCATTAATCCAACAACAAAACAGAAGTATGTCTTTGCGTTTACATGTAATGGGATTGACATCATTTCCTACGTTTCTATTCGGTGGTCTCATTTGATTGACATTTCCCCAGGAGTGTTACCATGTTTTTTTCTTTCCATTCAGTAGTTCAGCACATCCTTATTGATTGTTGCATGCCATGGGCTTTGATCTGGCCAACCAGATGAAACAGATTTCAAATTTTCAATGGCATTTTCTACTTGGACTCTTGTTTCTCCATGACTTATTTTGAGAAAAATAAGTAAGACTTTTCTTTCTTTTGTATATATTATTGGAGATGCATATCTTTGCATTTCATTGGAGCAAAGTGATTCAGTAATACAAAAGGTAGTTTTTCTGTTAAACTCAGGGAATTGTAATCATTTAATATGCTCTAGAAGTTAAGGAAATGCATGATTTAACATGGAGATAAAAGAGATAGGAATTATAGTCAGAAAAACTATTTTCTTAATCTTAGTGAGTTTCCAATTCCTCTTCTGTAAAACGATAACAATAATCCAACTTTTAAATGTTGTTATAATGTTCTTGTGAGAATTTTAAAAGGTAATAGGTGTCAAAAATGCTGGGCATTATTCTCATATGCGATACGCTGTCATTTGTTTATTACTATGTGAAGATGATGTACTAAGCACTCTACCTGCATTTCCTCATCTATTATTTCCCCAAAACTCTATGAGGCAAGTTCTGTTTTTATCATTATTTTAAATGAGGAGACTAACACACAAGGAAGGCAAAGCGTATAATTTGGCACTGATCCTAGAACGAATACGGAGAAGACCAGTATCTGAGTCCACTTGTTGATGGAGTGTGGTTCAAAGACAATGTTCAAACTTCTAGGTGTTTTTGTTGTTGTTGTTGTTGTTTTTAATATTTTTTCTGCCAAATTAAGAAAAAAAAAACTGGATTTAGTAAGGAGAGGCTTTATTTGAAAAGGGAAGAAGTGGAAGAGAAAATGGACTATTGTAGTGAGAATCATGTTCTGACCATAAGATCAGCAATGTCTCAGAGATTAAGAAAACAGGAGCTCCTCCTTTATTAAGGGGAGGGAAGGAGGCTACGAAGAGCTGATGTGGAATGTAAGGGTTGTGCAGTCCCATAGTAGACCACAGGACATTGTGGCAGCTCTCAGGAGAACAGGTCTTACCTCAGGAAGGTTGTTAAGAATCAGGACCGGGGGGGGTCAAGCTTATCCAGCATTGGAGCCGAACGGCGGTCAGTCAGGATTGACTCTGTAACGGAAAGTCTAAAAAAAAAAAAACTAGCGGCGAAGTGGGGGCCTGTAGCCAGCTCTGGAGGCTGAGGGGAGGGTGAAGGGGGGTTGCGTGGTGGAGGCACTGCACCAGCCTGGGCAGAGGAGATGTCAAAAAAAAAAAAAAAAAAAAAAAAATTCAGGACCTGGGAGGAGAAGAGAAACTTCACCAGAGTTTGATTAGCAAATATTTAGTTCCAAATAATCATAGTGATAAGCAGTTCAGATAATTCTTTATGAGTCATAGAATTGGAATTTTGAGTTTAGGTCTAACCTTTTCCTAAGTAAACAAGGGGGAATTCATGCATGTTATCTAACGTATATGAAAAAGAGTCATTGTTTGTGTACCAGGACACAAAAGGATGAGGGGATTTCTTAATCTTCATTGTGTTCCAGAATCACAGGGTTCAGGCAAGGGTCAATATTGTCACTTCTCTCCGGCTAGACATGATGAAAATGAGAAACCATGTCTTTGGAAACCATGTGATAAGGGTAGCAGAGTCTCTGGGTGGCATTGTGACCTCCCTGCCCCAAAGTGTTAATTAAGTCAGTTTTAGGAATCCTTTGCTGCAGTAGCTTCCCCAGCATCCTGAAGAGCAGTGAAGTGCTCAGTTTTACAACTCATGCCCATTGTGATTTAAGCCAAGTCATTTCATCTCATAAAATTTAGTTTCCTTATCTGCTAAATGATGGAGATGGACTTGGCAAAGACTTAGAGTCTCCTAGCTCTGATCTTCAGAAAGGCACAGATATGCCCAAGTGCCCTGTGGTTCGAGGTGTGGAATTAGAGGCTGAACCATGCATTAGTCTTCTTCCTAACACTCAGTCAACATCAGTACAGGAAGTCATTTAAGAATGCTCTGGTAGTGGATGTCACTGACTGTATATAGCTTTTTCATCAGCAATTCAGAATAATGTTATCAAGGTTGCTTTTGTCTTCCATTCTGGCAATCAGTCGTTTGTCATTCCTAAACCTCTAGTACCCGCTTTGCATTACCTTGCATAAACTGGGTGATTTCTTAATTTCTTCTTTTCCAGCCTTTCTGATTTTCTTTCCACCGTGTCTCTGGAATTTTTTCTGTGTCATGCAAACTCAGTTTGGGTGTTGTTTTATGCCTCTGCAAAGGCCAGAGCTGGTTTTCTACTTAATATTCAAGAAGCATGCTTGAAGATCACCTCTTTCAGGAAAAGCCCATGAAACTCACGACTGCTCAGCTGATGATGACTTAAGACTCTTTGGTTGCTGTGCATTTGGATTCATGGTGTAAGCTAGCTGAAGCAGGACTCTGTGGGTCTTATTATCACACAGTGCCTTGAGCATAGCATTGCGATAGATGTAAAAATTACCCACTTTCCAAACCTTTAGGGATACTTAGAAAAACTGCATATTGTTAATGTGTGTTGTATGATAAATATGGTGACAGCTGAAAGGGGGCTTTCCGATGAAATTAAGATATATTAGAATTTAAAATTAGTAGTACACTTCACTATATTTTTTGTTCAAATTGGAAAGCATTGAGTGCAAATGTGATGGATATATGGGTCAGAGGGTGGATGTGGCAGAACAGCTGCCTTCAAGTATTTAAATAGAGCAGAGTGGATGAGACCTAAATCCAAAGACCTGTTGGTGACTCACTGCCCGTGGGACCTGGAAGGAGGCACTTTATCTCTCGAAGGCTTAGTTTTCTCAGCTATAAATTAGGAACAACAATAATTACCATAAAGAATTATATAGGGAAATAAATAACATCATATATGTAAAATATCTTTAGGTCTGTTGGCATATGGTAGATATTCATTAATGTTTGGGTTGTTAAGACTTTGTCATTAATTAACATTGACTTACCCTACTGTGCTTAGGAAAATTCACTAGTCCAAATGGTAGGCTATGAACCTATGAGCTAGAAAATAGAATCTTTGGGCTCTAAATGTGGACCATTATGTGGGCTTATAAAGGAACCACTGTCCATGGAAAGAGAAACATAACCAAAATCTGAAGAGTAACATTGACACTTCCCATGTTAGGCTGGTTAAACTTGCCCCTGATCTCCTCGTCACAGTCAGTATCAATCTTTTCTTTTTTTTATTTTTCTTTCTTTAATACCTGTTCTACTCACATTGCTGAATTCTTGTCTGTCATATTTCCTGTTATTATCATTTACTAGACTTTCTGAAGGCTGTTACATTTGGGTCATGTTCTCAGATGTAAATTCTCCTCATTTATCTTGCTAGAGTTCTGTCAGGAGACAACAACTAGACAAATACACACAGAGAAATCAAAGTCCAAAAGTGAAAAAAAGAGAGAGAGAGAGACAGTCTGACTTTTGCTGGTTGATTAGATCAAAGATGATTTACATGGTTTGGAGTTATAAAGAGTATATATTGATTGGATAATTAAAATCTCTCCCACTTATTTTGAGCTGATAGATCCAGTCCTTCAAACTCAACGCTGTCAAATACTGGAATTACATAATCAAACAAAAAAACAATAATCTGAGAAAAAATAATTTGTTAAACAAAGTAAAAACTTTGTCTTTAGGAAGTTTATAAGTAGATTTGGCTGATCATTGCAATTTGGGAACTTTTTGAATGGTGAGGGTAGTAATGGGACAGAAATTAATCAGTTTGGGTTGGTTTTAAGAAATGGCTTCAGACCCTAAGTGGTTTGCCAAGTTTCCCTTAAACATCTCACATTATTGAGGATACAAGTCAAAATCACTTATCAGCAGTTCTTCTAAATGGCAAGGAACATGTATTAAAGAGGCCATGAAGGAATTTCTAATGAGAAAAAATGTTCTTACTTTTTGAGAAATTAACTGCTTCAATAAATTGCAAAGATAAAGTAGGAAAAGTTATCACAATAATGTCTGTTGCAATAAAACTAAACTGTACAGCTGATAACAGTTAAAATGCCAGAAGGTGAGTTAATGACATACTATTTTCCTAAAAACCCCTTTGGTCCTTACTCTGAAATATAATTCTGAGATCCACTTATAAGGAATATGGTAGAAGCTACATGGAAATACTGTCTATTCATGTGTTCTACAGATTCATTGCCTGTGAACTTTTGAATATATGTAAAGTTTATAAGCAGAGTATATTAAACGAAAGTTTTGGGAAGGTGAAATCAAATAACCCTAGTAGCTCAAATTGATTCTTGAAGTATATACGAGATGGAAGTTTGTAGTTAGAGAAATAAGTCTGAATTTCTTACTTGCACTGGAAAATTTATATCAAAGGTCATGGGAACAGGGGCAAAGAGGGGGCCATTTAATCCTCCCTAACACTTTCTGTGGATTCACGAATGTAGAAGAGGCCCAAGCCTTCTGCTATGATTTTCTTCAGTCAAATTCCTAAGCAAGTTAAAGATTATAGCAATGCAGAGGAATTCATAAGGATAATGAGAGAGGAAAAAAAGAAAACAAATGGAAATAGAGCAAGCAGACATTGGAAAGTAATGTGAAATAGGAGAGTTTGGAGCTAATAGTTTTACTTTGCATTATTGAAATTTCTCCCATACATAGTAATGACAAAGTGTCCATGAATGGTGAAAATGTGTGTGTGTGGTGTGTGTGTGTGTGTCTGTGGTGTGTAGGAAGAAAATGAACAGAGAGAGAGAAGGGGAAAGAGAGAAAGAGAGAGGAAGAGAGAGACAGAGAGAAAGAAAAGCAACAAGGGAAAGACTAAAGTTGAGAAAGCATTAGAAAGCCCAAGATAACATGTGCACACATGCCCAGCTACTAGGACTGAAATTATCAGGGCCAGTTTCTTGCTTTATGGTGAAAGCCAAGTCAGCTAGAGTATTTTTCAAACAAACAGCAGAAGGAAAATAAACAGAGCTGTCTCCTGTTACCATGAGTTCAAAAGGAGCCAGGCTAGTGCTCCATACACATAAACCACATTCTGACTAATTAAGTGAAGACAACAACAAAAATATAGAACAATTATGCGAGAAATAAAGAAAATTGAAATATGCCAAATCTCCATTTAAAAAAAAGAGACATGAAGAAATAGCACCAACCATGACAGAAACAAACCTCTCTGCTCTGAGCCATCTGTGCCACCTATCAGCTGGTCACAACGTGACTCTGAGTAGCAATAGAAATCATCAAAGGAAGAGCTTTAAAAGGCATGGCAATACTAATAGATTTTTTTCTGGGTTTCTGGTCTTTGTTTATGGATACTTATAATTTGGCAATGTGTTCAGAGGCCCATAATATGAATGTCTCCCTTGCGTTTTATTTAAGCAACAGCTCACAAAGGACTTGCTTCTGTTTCCCACCATGCCAAGTAATGCTCGTAGAAGGCGAAAACTTCCAATGATGTGTGAATTCAAAATTATGGGTTGATTTAATGAATTACAGCAACTAGATTCCTAGATAAGTGTATTTAACATGTTTACCTGTCCAGTAAAGGCAAATTTGGTTATCTTATTTGAAACAAATTTTTCTTTCAAATGATGGCAATTTCATCCTAGTCTATTTTAGGGCTTGCTTTTATATATTCCCAACACATCTCTCTATACAATTATATTTGTTGAAATCTCAAAGGAATGGAAAGTTAATAATATGGCTGTAATGTACATAAGAACATCTTATTTTGAGAATGAGAAAGTATTTTATGGATAGGATATGAAAAATAATAAGCCAGTTAAATTAAGCTCATTTATATTGTCAGACTTACCTTCAAATACAAGTTGCCCTTTTGTTAGAAATTAATTCTCAGAATATCAATAATCATTAGGATTTGTTGGTTAAATGTAACAGGAACAAATTCTGATTCATTTGAGTAAAAACAGAAAATTGTTAGGAAGAAGACAGAATAGCTCAAAGATTCAAAGAATAGTTTAACAAACACATATCGGCAAGGGCACATGAGGCAATTCCAAGAATCTAGGCAGCAAGGATCCAAGAATCTAGGCAACACTTGTTTCTTCAAAGTGTTACCTGTAGATGAGTGAAATGTGGCTTTGTTTGTTTGTTTTTTAGAGGAAGTCAGGCTGGAGTGCAGTGGCGCGATCTCAGCTCACTGCAAGCTCACTCCGCCTTCCGGGTTCATGCCATTCTCCTGCCTCAACCTCCCAAGTAGCTGGGATTACAGGGGCCCACCACCATGCCCGGCTAAATTTTTGTATTTTTAGTAGAGACGTGGTTTCACCTTGTTAGCCAGATGGTCTCAATCTCCTGACCTCCGCTTCAGCCTCCCAAAGTGCTGGGATTACAGGCGTGAGCCACGGTGCCTGGCCGGCCATTTTTAAACTCTGTGTAGCAGCTCAGTTCAATATTAAAATTTCTGGAAGAAAACCTAGTCATGGCCTCGCTTGAACTTTTACATATCCTTTACCAAAGGGAGGGCAGAGACACATAATTGGATAGTCTACCAAGACTAAAACCAATGAGGAAAATTGATCTTCTGTTACCAGAAAAAAAAAAAAAAAAAAAAAAAAGGGAATAGGTGCTGGGGAGACATAAAGCAATTCTATAATTAAGCTCATTCAGGATGAGAAATCAGTATACAAAGTATGGTGAAAAACTCAACATGATGAATAGTTCAGGGATATTTTATGCTTTTTAAAACTTTCATAACTGCTCCATTAAAATAATGAAGAAAGTAGATTCATATTGAGTCACCATTTATTAGAAATATATATAAACTACTGTAAGACAATGTTTCACATATTAAATTATTGTGTAAAATTCCTGTTAGAATTGATATTTCTATTTTGTCCTTATAGCAACTGAGGATCAGAAAGTTATATTGAATTGCTTATTGTCACTCCATAATCAAGTGTGTAAAAGGTCTTATAATACAGCTCTACTGAATTAAATCTTAGTCCACTTTTGGTTGTATTTCTATTTTTTGGACAGAAGGATTTCATTGAAAAGTTACAAAGCACTAACGTGGTATTACTAAAGTAAAGAAATAAGACCTAGGTAATGATACACACACACACACACACACACACACACACACACACACACACACACACATTTTTAGGTAGCCATCAGCACTGAGGCTCTATCTACAAATATAGAACCTTATAAACAACATGATGAGCTTAGCTATACACAGCAGATGGAAGACACACTTACCACAACTCCTTCCAAAAATCTCACTAAAATGAGAATAGGAAAATGAAATAAAAGTACCAGGGGAACTATTGGTAAACCAGAGAGGACAACAACATTTTGGAGCGTAGAAAGCAGAAGAGAAGTTAGTTAAGATAGAAAATAGAACACTAATACATTTTCTGAATCTGTGATGTCATTTAATATAAGATGCACCATTAGTTTGTTTCATTAAGGAAGAAAAATCACTGCCAATTATAACTGTTAAATTTATAATGATAAATGTTCAGTTATCTATTGCTGCATAATAAGCCACACCAAACTTTGTAGCTTAAATCAACAATGTTTTCGTTACTATAATTCACAGTTCTGGGAGCTGACTGGGTTGGCTGGCTCAGGGTTTCTCATGAAGTTGTCATTAGATGCAGGCTGGGGCTAGGGTCATCTCAAAGTCTTCACTCTCGTGGATGGCAATTAATGCTAGCTGCTATCTAGAACTTCAGCTGGGCTTATTGGCCAGGACACATACATGTGGCCTCTACATGTAGCCTTGGCCTCTTTATAGCATGGTAGCTGAGTTGCAAGATCGAAGATCCCAAGTGAGACAGCTAAGCAGAAGCTGTATCTCTCTTTATAATCTATTTCAAGTCACATAGCCTCACTTGCACCTTACACTGCCAGTTGAGGCAGTCACAAGGGCTCAACCAGTTTCAGTGGGAGAAGATGTATATTTCATGTCTTGATGGCAAGGTCATAATAAAAACATAGGTCATAATAAACATAGGTCATAAACAAGCTTGTAATAAAACATGGCAAGGCCATAATAAAAACAATACATGTGAGAGAGGGTATACTTTTATAGTCATCTTTGGAAAATACAAGCTACCATGTTGACAATAACTGTAATATGGTTCCCCATGTTCAAAAATGTTAAGATATGAAACAAATTATCTAATAATTAGTGAACATAGTAATTACCTATACTTAAGGAAGTGTCAAACGAGAAGCAAGGCAAGCCCATGTTGTAGAATCTTAGCTCAGGAATTTGAGGCATCAGCTACCTTAGAAGTTCCCATAAGGCTTGGAATTGGTTGAAAGTTTGAAGAAGGAGTAGTTAGATTCATGAAACTCTTTCTTTATCCTCTGTATCTGTGTAGCTATCCCTCTCACTCATAGT